CATTCTCGCTTGATAAATTTTTCAATATACATTTGTATGCATTCAAGGATAATTAATATGTTGACAAAATGACACGACACATCTCTGTTGCTTCCTAACCACATAATTGAATACATGAAACTAGTTTGTGCTCCCGTATATTCACGCATGATTCTAGGGGGAGTTGGGAGGAGGCGGGGAAACTCATACATTCTCGTGAGATAACTTCAGCAAATGCGATGTATTCGAATGTGCAGAGTGATTTGTAGGCACTAAGGGGAAATAAAAGAAGATAAAGTGAGCGATGCGCATCTTCTTTGTGAAAGTAAGACGATATAAAGCGGGCAAGAGTACGTCTGTGCATTAACTGCGAAGAGTATAGCAGACGTTCCCATTATAAGAATGCGCACGCACACACGTACGCCGCTCGGCGCATATATGATGAATGCCTACAAGAGCGGACGGCGAAGCACAGTATGTATGAACACGTACGAATAAGTGTACGTGACGGTGGTTGGCACAGATACACCAGATACATTATGCATCGCGGATTTTACCCCGTATAATGCACTTGTTACCTATGCATATAACGGTCGCGGCAGGATGAAGTGTCGAGGGGTGGAAAAAGAATGGGGAAATGCCATAACAGACAGATTACTTTTTCGAGAGAAACCACCTCGCAAGTCGTCTTCCCGTATTTATTCGCGCCTAAGTAAAAGCAGAATTCATCTCGGGTGCGGTAAATTACGTGGCAAAAAAAAAAAGCTTTATGTTGTTAAGTACTTCGATAAAACAGAAATGCACGTCGCGCCGTTGCTAAGCCCTCCTTTTCGTACTTTTTATTCGCAAGCAGATAATCTGGCCTGGTTTCATAAAGAAAAATAGCTTTGTAAACTACAATTAGATTTAAATCTTTAACACCGACGCGAGACTGATTAAGACTCTTCGAGGCTTACAAAGTTTCTTACAAAACGAATTACAAGTGTTACCTCAATACATTTTTTTGAAGTATGATAAAATTATACATGTGTATTATAATGTAGAAATCTATGCGTTTATCATACCAATTCGTATTTTTAATATATGCAAGTAGCGCGTTTCAGTATTTCAGTAATTCAGCACTAATTGTAAGAGAACAACAGGAACACACAATTGGCAGTATTTGCGTTATGCACGGGATGTAACCATCTATTAGGCAGCCCAATCATCATTTATTGATACACAAGCATGGCACAGGATAGCTCAAGATAAACTGCATCGGATACATCTAACAAAACGCCATTAATTGGAGAATACGTGGTCTGATGATTATGTAACGTCACGTGTGTTCTGGACGGCGCTAGATGAACAGGTTTAACAACGGCAAAATCAATAGAGCTAAACAGTTCCAGCAATTTATCGCAAGACTACAGCGGCAAATATTGCTCGAATTCAGTAAATATCAATACTCCTCGATGAGAATTGATAAACGCAATAAGAATTTAAAATGTGTAGATCGATTTCTTTATAAAAATTTACTGCGCTTTGGATATTTCTCCGTTCCTTAAAGATGGCCGCAGTATCATTATCACTCATTAGGTCCTGCACTCATTAGAGCCAACGTAAGACCGGCAGTAAAAGAAGTCGATAATGTCGGAAAAGCCGCAACAATGAAATCACAGTACAAATGGGAAATGACTCGACCCATAAATCCCTGCTAATGAATCCCCCAAGACACTGTAACACGTCACAGCAAAGTACAATGTACGGCGCGGGAAGAAACGCAAACGAACATCTCACGAAGAAGCGAAAGGGGGAAACTGTAATTGTGTTTCGAAGAGTGGACGGGCGTCGGCTTTTCCGGCTCAACACGTACGTTATGGAGAAAGGGGCGGGTAAGCAAGCGAGTGAATCCGCGCGCGCGCGCGAGTGAGCGGCTCTTCTCCATGGAATTTTAATCAGCGTCAATTACTCGCGAGAGTGGCACGTTCTCCTTACGTCCGCACTTTCCTCGAGACGCAGCAGCAGAATTCAATTTTCCCACCCTTCAGCCCGTTCAGAGTCGTTCCTTTCTCTTACGACGAGTCGACCTGGCCGCGCGAACGTCGTTGTTGCGAGAAGAGGGAGTAATAGGCAGGTATTACCTCGAGATGCGAGAAGGTTAATCCTGTCCCTCCCCAAAGCGCAACCCTTTCTCAAGATCCCGCTGCTGTTTCCCCGCGAAAATGCGCAAAGCCGAGATTGCAGCAGCCCCTTGAATGTTCCGATTCAAATCGCGCGTCTTCCATGATGCTATCTAGTAATTACGCTCCTTCAAACATCGGCAACTGTCCGAAATTTTAAATTAATGTAATTAGCCGTTCAATTACCGTGCCGCGATGAGATTACGGTAATCGAATTACGATGGCTCGTATAATTAGTGCGGCGGTCCAATCGGCCCTCCGCCGAACGTGCGACGTGCCGAATATCGAACGCGCATCCCTCTAATCCAGACCCTTTATCAACTATCGCCCCTTTTCGATTTTCTCCTATAATGTCAACCTCTATCATTATATCTGTAATCTATAAGCTCTCCTCATAAGATGTCAATTACGCTTAATTTATCCAATATCGCTATTTATAGCGATGAGCCACACATGTGTGACTATTAAACATTCCGTGTTCCATCTTCCACATCAAAACAATACGTAAGTGATATCCACTGGAATGACAAAGATTTTCGCCGATCTAAAGCGATATCAATGTTCTATCAAAAATTATGATAAATTACACGGAATATTTGATTTTCGCGCTTAAATATTTGACAACTTAAATTTAAACATTTGGACGAGAACAAGAGGCCCATCTGATATAAAAAAAAATTGTATCAAATATGTCGTATAACCGTTGTTTTGGTGATAAAGTACAATCTTACAGATTATCTTGAAACCCACTTGCGCCCACGCGAGTTCAGTTTACGATGCTATCAAATCTGAAAAAGAAGAATAATACCGCGGAGATGTTTTCGCCGAACCACATACCGGAGGAAGGTACAGCCAAACAAGAGCCGGAGACAAGTGCAAAGTGGAGGTCCGTGATAAAACCCGGTTGAGTCCGGAATAAAAGGACCTCAGCGCGAAGGTCGATTCGAGGCACTTAGAGACGCCCGTTTCTCGTCGGACACGGTGATGATGTATGGCTCTCAACGATAGAAAATGTTATGGCGGAAGGACTCGGCGGTACGACCTCGTTTCACCGCTGGAAGCCCCGAGGCCTTCGCCGAGGTGACGGCGAGAGAACGGAAAAAGGAAGGAAAGGCGCGGGTGAGGAAGGAAGGATATCTAAAGATGGCCGTCATCTCATAACTCCTTGGGATACGTTCTTTTGCCGGTGCACGGGTAGGAAGGATACGGAAAGGGGGAAACGATGAGAGTGAAGGCGCGCCGGTACGTCGAGACGCGACGCACACGCGCACGTAGTATATACGCTGTGTGCCCGTAATCCATGGATATCGGCTCGCCGTCGCTGCCTTCGTGTTATTGCAAGAGGTTTATCGGATAACTCCACCACCCTCGCCCGCCCCTACTCACGGCGCGACGGCACGAAACGAAAGGATGGGACAAACTAACCGATGATTGGTACCTTATGAAAATTTGTTTGCCCGCGGAACGAAAAATTCGCGATGAATCGGGGATGAATTGGCTGCGCGTCAAAGACGCGTCGCATCTGTAGACATCACCGTTGCCGCGTCGGACGTATCTCGTGTGCGCGGATCGGCCGTGTATTAGTGAAACCAGTAATATCAAACATATGTTTTACAAGCGATAAACCGAGTTAATTTAAAATAAAAAAAAAAATTTAAAAAAAAGCGCGTGCACCGTGTATAAAGGGAAATAAATTAGTTCGTTTTCCGAACGCATTGGAGAAAAATTACCAACAACCAATACCCGACGAAGTGTGCTCGTGCACGCGAGAGTATACACGTGCGCGCGGACGCATACGTAAAGTCGCTAAGAATATGTTACATCGCGTTATTGAATTTTTCTTCGATTCCCGTTATTCCACAGGTATTTCGTGTATTTGTGCCTTCTCCCGTGCCCTTCTCTTCGCGCAACAAACTTTTTATCCCTTGTTTTCCTCCCTCCTTCCGCAAGAATCCGGAGAAAGGCGATTAAATCTCAGCCGACAGCGGTAGACTCCCCGCAAACTCTTCGGCTTACGATAAAGAGAGAGACTTGTACTCCTGGTTTTATATCATCTTTTCGTTCTCGTTAAAATTATCAGCGTACGGATTACGCGACGCGGCCCGGGCTCCTTGGAAGTAAGACGCGCGCCCACCCTTCGACCAACAAAAAAAAGCCACAAACGTACAAGCTACTTGGAGCGTTTAAATAGACTCAATCCTTCATCGCTACACTCAGAAAAAAATGTAGCACCAGATAGTACAATTGTAAAATGCTCTTCTACAAATAATAGTACAAATAGGGACAGAGATAAATTGTAATAAATGAGTCTAAAAAATTGTTCTAAAAAACCTGTCTTAAATCAATTGACAAACTGCTTAAGATTGTAAAATATTCCAGTATCAACAAAAACTAAAAATGTTGCAATTTTAAATAATTTATTGCAATTTATTGTATTTGTTGTGAAAATATAGTAGCGGTTGACTTAAAAAATCTACCACATTTTAAATAGAACTTCGCGCAATAAGTTGTAGTAAATACTTATAGGCATGTATGTAAACTATAATAATAATTTATAGCAACATTTAACTCAACTTGTAGGACTATAAATGCTTTTGTGTAGAGCATTTATTACAACTTATAAAACAAAATTCTATAAAGAAATTATAATGTAAAACTATTGTAGCAAAATAAAATATCGATTGCTACAAATTGTAAAAGTACTAAATAAAATTAATAGTAATAATCATCTAGCATTTTATATGTTTCTACATTTAATTGTAGAAATACTTTTACAATTTGTACTATGGAATGTATGAGGAAGTAATAAGAAATATATTTTTAATGAATAAAATATATATTTAGATATAAATGCCTACGCAAAAGTTTTACATATTACAAACTTTGATAACCTTACATATAAGTAAAAATTTTTACGTGTATGTGTATGTGAGCATAACTTACAGAATTACAGTTTTGGTTAGCATATATTTTACGTGGTAAACCCACTGTAGCCTTATTTAAACACTTCTTTTCATTAATCAGAATTTCTTCATCCTTTGATGGAACACTGGAAGTTGATGGACTTGGATTTATATCAGATAGCGACGATAAAATTGTCGTGCTAGATGAGGCCCAGTCAGTATCAAAGATTATCTCACTAAAAATCTGAAAATAAAAATAAATGTAAAAAAAAATTTTAGAATATAGGAACCAGAACGCTATTTTGTTCTTGATTTTTTAATTTTGGAAATTGATTTAAAAATCAGCGGTACCACAAACCCAAATATGAATTTTCGCGCAATTCGAACAATTTTCCAAAATTCGAACGTCTTTTTAAATCAGCTTTCTTTTTTATTTTTACAATTTGGACATAGAATTTGAAATTATTGATACCAAGAACCCCCAGATATAAATTTTCATGCAATTTAAACAATTTTTATAAATTTAATCCGTTATTTTATTTTTGAATTTTCTTATTATGACACTAAATTCAGGTTTCTAAGTATATACCGTAATCAGACAATCTTCTTTGCGTATTTAAAATAAAAATAATAAAAGTACGTGTTTATTATTAAATATTCGAGAGTTCTTCGATTATTTTAATTATTTCTCTTAATATGATCATAGTGAACTTAATCATTTAATAGAAATTGAACATATGTTTAGTGAATTAAAGTGAAGTAAAGTGAAATTTCAAAGTAATAAAAAGTAATAATAATGTATTTATATATGTAATAAGAAATTATTTTTAGGAAAACAATTTTGCGTATAGTTCAACTTGCGTTGCGCGCTGCGCGTAAACTTGGCGCGAGACACTACCGTGTCTCTCGATAAATAATTTATTAAATCATAGATATTAGATTTTCGACAAAAATTAATGTTGATTAACGGAGATAAATTTTAAAGAAATGTATCAAAATCTCATAAAATTTGTAATAGTATACTTATAAAAGTATTTAGCAAGCCAAATAGTAATAACATATATTTATAAAAATATTTCCAAACCACATACGAAGAGAGATATCTTAAGATATTTACGC